TCACTGTTACCTATAAACATGGACTAAAGTGGTGGGTAGCGCTGTCGCCTCACAGCAAGAAGGGCCTGGGTTTGATTCCCTGGCCAGGCGACCAGGGTCTCCCTGTGTCTGCATGGGTTTCCTCCAGGTACTCCGGTTTCCTCCCACAGTCCAAAGACATGCAGTCAGGCCAACTGGACATGCTAAAATTGTCCCTAGGTGTGAATGTGTGAGTGAATGTGTATGTCTGTCTGTCTGCCCTGCGATGGACTGGCGACCTGTCCAGGGTGTATCCTGCCTTCCGCCCAATGACAGCTGGGATAGGCTCCAGCAACCCTGAGGGAGAAGCGGCTTAGAAGATGTGTGTGTGTTAAGAGTTCATATCAAAGCACTTTTGGTCCAAATGTCTTTTATACACCGGAAGGTTTTGAGCGCTGACATCACAACAAGGGCTAAAATGGGCGTGGCCTTTGGCTGTATTCCCGAAGTAGCCCTGACCTTAATATTGGCTGAAAGAAATGAACACATATGACATTGTTTCCTCAAATTGAACCTGATTAGAGCCAGATTCAGTAAGGAGCACGCAAAAGCAGTGATCTGTGCTGCAGTTTATTGAGCACAGCTGGCTTTAATGTACGGCTTATTTTATGATCTGCTATTGAAATGATGTCACCAGCAAACTGGCACTCATAATTCAGATCGTCTTAGAGTTTAGAAACCGGGGAAGGACAGATTCTCTTTAAATGAGCTCAGATTAAATCTATCAAAAGATACAAATGGGGAACTTAAAATATCATTGCTGTCCAAAAAACAAACAAGTATCTCCATTTTTTGCGATTTTTAGTTTTCTGCACAGTTTGAGCTCAGCAGCTGTCCTTTACATTGTGGAAAAGTTTCATGATGATTGGACCAATAGAAAAGGTCCAATTGTGCTTAGAATAAAATCTCTTTACATTAATCTTCATTGAAAGTTGAGGACGTTTTTGCCCTCTCCTGTAAAGTTACTATTTTGGAGAAACTTGTTTTTCTTTGGACAGCGATGATTTTATGCATTGGTGTGTTTTTTTTTATATTCCAAAAGTGCACCAAACATTCTGGCTGATTTAATACAGTTTTAAATGTGTCTGATAAGCACATTTTTGCATGTTGTTATCGTAACTTTACAGGAGAAAGAAAAAACACTCTTAACTTTTAATGTTAGTCAATGTAACAAGATCCTTTTAGTCATTTTGGATCATTACTGTTGCTCCGTCCATTGTGACATTTTTACAAAATGTGCGTGGCAGCTGCACAAACCCATTTCCAAAAAAGCTGAGCAGAATATAAATAAAAATAGAATGCAATGATGTGGAAATCATGTAAACCATATTTTTAAAGGAAAATACTACAAAGACAACATTTCAAATGTTCAAACTGAGAAATTTTATTGTTTTTTGAAAAATATATGCCCATTTGAATTTGATGCCAACAACACGTTCCAAAAAAGTTGGGACGGGGGCCTGTTTACCACTGTGTTTCACCACCTCTTCTTTAACAGCACTCTGTAAGTGTTTGTGAACTGAGGAGACACTGCTGTAGTTTAGAAAGTGAAATGTTTTCCTGTTCTTGTTTGATACAGGATTTCAGCTGCTCATCAGTTCAGGGGCTCCTTTTCGTATTACTCATTTTATAATGTGCCAAATGTTATCAGTGGTGATGAACATCGCTTCTCCTGCTTTTCCCTTTTTTCTGCATCTAATACTGATGGTCAAATCTCATTCTCTGCTGTTAGTGTTTTACTATCCGGTGTCGACCAGAGGAGGATGGGTTCCCCTTTTGAGTCTTGGTTCTTCTCAAGGTTTCAGACCCGGATTTTTCTGTACACCTGCTTTGTGACAACAGCTGCTGTAAGAAGCGCTACATAAATAAACTTTGACTTGACTTGAAATCTTTAGTATATTCTCTTTCAAGGTGCAAGACAAAAAGAGAAGCTTGCCTATAATAACAAATCTTCCTTCTTCCACCTTCACTGCAAAGGAATTGTGCATTTTTCTTCCTGCCGTTAAAAAGCACGCAATTTGGTTCCAGTGAGTTCGGATTAATAGTTCGCTCCAGTTCGTTAATTTTCAAAGCCTCCTCCACCATTTTTACACCTCAGGCGTGCCACGCCTTAAAATGCATATTAATAAAGTCAGGTGCAGCTCAGTGATGCCGTCGTGTGGTCACAGAAAAAATCAGCTGTGAGAGCTGCCACTGAAAATGCTTAGTAAATCTGACATTGTCTTTAAAATGGAAAGTTATTGCGAACTTACATTGAGAACATTTGGCAAAGCTAGGTGTTCCCAAACTTTTGAAGTCCTATAATGGAGATATAATAAGAGTTAGAGGCCTGTTGGAGTGACCGTGGTTCAGACTAAGCAGGAATTTACTGGACGTTTAAAGTCATTAGTACATAAAATGTTCCATGTTTCTGAGATCTGAGGTCAGCGTTGGTCGTTCTGTCTCATTCCGCTCAGTTCTGTTTGTGCTAAAGTGACTGTTTAGGCTTAGAAATGAAATAATTCATTCTTTATGGTCGGCCTGGTGGACATGGTCTTGTCTGGGGCTCAACTTTAATAACAGTGGTGTTTTACCATCAGAAGAACAGTTTAGTCTAGATTTAGGTTTAGTCTGGGTCTGAAAAACTGGACCTCGCAGTTTATATTAGACATTAAAGTCTAAAATCCTCACTGATTTTTTATTTTTTTTATTTCAGGTTGACTTTAAGGGTGACAAATACTACAGAAATCCTCCACAAAGCTGTTACCATCTGTACCATGTGCTTGATATAACTGATTTTCAAAACACTGTAATCCCGACTCTCTCTGAGGAGAGATGATCTCACTGCAGAACCATCCCAGCCAGTCCAGGTGTCTGGATGTGTATGTAAACGTAGATCAGCTGATTTTGAGCAGCTGTCTCTGAGGTGGCCTGCGGGTCAGTGTGTGGTGTTTTCAGTTTGCGATGGTGTTTCTGGCCTCTTGCTTCTGCCCTGGAACTCAGCTTTACTTATCAGTTTATAGATGCAAGCTACAGAAACTGGGTAAAGCCTGCAGTGACAAACAAAAAGGCCCCAAAAACACCAGCTGTTCTGTGTTGCATCAGGCAGTGTCCAAAAAGTTTTTAGTGAACATACACATGCTGCCCCCGGCATTCGGCATCTCTAAGGCTGGATGTACACTGTGTGACTTTCAAAATCTTAACAGACTTTGTCACAGAATTTCTTGTCTTTTTGTCGTGAGGCGCTCACACAAGAGTACGAGACAGAGAGAGAATAACACACACAACAAGTTTCAGCTACAAATACACTATATTGCAGGTAAGAACTCCCGGATCTCAGATCACATGACACAAAAATAACTTACTGAACCCATTTGTGCTTTTATGCCCAGAGAAAGCGCAAACTGGGGAACACTCAAAGAACCCTTCGCAACTCTCTGGGGTCCAAGAACTCATGTCAAATCCGATGTCTCTGTATCTGTTTCTGTATCTTTGTGATAATCCAATTGTGATACTTTCCCACAGAAATCCAGTTCAATCATTTCCTGAATCTGTAGAGTCGCCCTTTCCATTCCATCTTATCACGAGATCATACGAGACTCACATCCGGAGTTATGAGCCTATGAAGAGGGGCTGAGATACACGTCATCTGCCTCTCACCGTGTGGAACCGGTGGATTCGTGTGTCCGTCTACATTCTGTGTGAAACTGACCAATGGACACTCAGGAAATCACTAAGGACTGACCATCACGCCGGAAACCCTTCATTCTTCATTCAGTCCACATCAGAGACTCATGTGAAATGGCCTGCAGAGAGTTTACAGCTGCTGAAGCTGCTGCAGCGGTTTTGAAAAATAGTGATGAAGATAACGGAGCATTTAGATATGAAACATATGAGGATCATGATATATGAAGAGCCTTTAAAGGAGAGTGTATCTCAGCCCCTCTTCATAGGCTCATAACTCCGGATGTGAGTCTTGTACGATCTCGTGATGAGATGTAATCTTAAGAAATCGTATTTCTGTGCTGGATCATCACAAAGACACACACACAGATATACAGACATCAAATTAGACACAGGGAAAGGGTTCTTTGAGTGTTCATAGTTCTATATAGGACCTTTTTTATTAAGGGACCTTTTTTATACCTCTTTATTAAAGAACCCTTGAATGACCACCTTTTAAAGAGTGATGATGGACATTGAATTTTTTTATTCTTTAAAAAACCTTTTAAATTGGGTTCCACTTTTGTTACAAGTCAAAAAACTGTTTTTGGGTGCTAAATAGAAAGATTTTTGTTGACTGTACCCTTAGTGCAGGCTGGTTGTAATTACTCTCCAGCCTTTCTCCACATCAAAGATCTATCATCAATTTGATGTTGAAATGTCTCAGAAAATAAATATTATCATGTTACACATTTTACAAAGTAATCTAAAGATCTTTATTAAAGTTTACCAGTGGTAAAAAAGTTAACAGGTCCCACTTTTTAAGGCCACGGTATCCCTCACCACAGTTACATTCCTAAATAAAGTAAACATATCCACAGAAATGGTTTTTTTTTCCACAATGCTCTCTGGAATGAATACTTGGCCTGGGCTGATTAACTGGAAACAATTCTCTATAAAATTGCTCGATCCATGAACAAAACAAGAATACACTGGAAGAAGCGAGTGACTCCAGCTCAGCCAAAATCTGCTCCTAATGTGTTGAGCGTGAGCCCAGAATCCTGAAGGCAGTTTGAAGTCCTCTTTATTTCCATTCTGTGTCTCCACTACATCACATTATGGGATTTTGCTAGCGGCTTCACGGCCGATAAGATTAGACATGCATTTTTCTCTTCGTTTTTCTCCAGCCAAACGGGATTATCTGAATTTACACTGTCTAAAAACTTTAAACGGGACGTTTTGATCTCTTCTGACTTCAAATCCTAAATCTTCGATTTCATATTTGAGCTCATAAAACATGAAAGGATGTAAACGCATGCCGTCCATCAGACAGAGAGGTGTCAGATGTGATTGTTCAGCCGACGACGGATGCCTTTGATTTGAGGTGAAGACGTCACTGTGGTGTCTCTGCGCTGGTGGAGAACACCAAAAGGTCCCAAAGGAGAAACCACAGAAACACTGTGAAGAGAGCTTGGAGAGAACAAGTAGCACATTCATATGGTCTCCTATTGGAACATTGTGTTTAAGACTGAATTCTGACATTTTCACAAAAGAAGAAAAAAGATACCCCATGAAAATAACATCATGGTTAAATGATCACACATGATGTTCACCTGTCCACTCTCCATATGTAAGCAATAGAACATGAGAGGGAGTGTGTTATTGCGAAATAGCTGTAGATCATCACAGCTGTGATATTATTTGTGATAACACACAACCTATTGCTGTTTTATTGCTTTTATACAACAGTTTAATAAATAAAGTAATAAATTAATAAACTGGGCCGTGAACGTTGTTGTTTTAATGTTCGCAGTTCCTTCACCAAATTATAGTTCCTTAATGAGCAGCTTGTTGCTACGTCAGAGTAACGAGCTCCGCCCACTCGCCGCACAGCCGGCAGTTCGTTCTCCAGCTCCTCACACTAAACTCCCAAACTGTCATCACCACTGAGACAGAAGATCAGCTAAACATCCTGGAATCAGCCAGAAATGAACCCAATACCCTTCGCCAAACATGTAGTCTGATCTTCAGAGTCTGACCAAATCGGACTGAGCCATAAAACTGCCGCAATATCAAGTTTAGCTCAGTTTTGTCAGTTTTTGCCAGATCAGTATTAATGTTGTTTTGTTCCAGCCAGTCTGTAAAGCATCTTACAGCCCATTTAGTTTGGCGAATGGTGTTGGGTTCATTTCTGGCTGATTCCAGGTTGTTCAGCTGTTCTTCTGTCTCAGCTGCCGACTGAAAAGCTGCTCAGTGGTGATGACAGTTTGGGAATTTAGTGTCGTCTCATCTTCAGAGTCTGACCAAATCGGCTGTCGGTCAAATGTGATCTTAAAAGTGTCCATTTTCTGTTTGTGGCAAAGTAAGAAGTAAAAACATTAAAATGGCTTGAGCGTCTCCTACAGCTGTCAGAGTCGCTGCTTAGCAACGCCGTCTCAGTGGAGTGATACAGTGTTTGTGAAAAACCTGTGATGTTACGGCAAAATAACAGCACAACCAACCAGCTTGCGTGGCCAGAACTGACTGTTGTATAAAATATGATATATATTTGTATGTGTAATGTAATATATTATAATTTCTATATTAGATTTGACGCTGCATCTGCACCAACAGCCAGAAGAAGTTGGTGCAGCCCAGAAAGTGTTGGATAGCAGGCAGACAGAACTGTGGCACGGCCTGTCCATAATAGCCGTGACCTTGGCTGAGTCCACACTCAGCTGTCTGTTGGAAACCACAGCAAAGTGACCAACTGGGTGTGGAAAACTCAAAGAGCCAAATACACTCACCAGGAGAACTCTTAAAAAAAACTCAGAGTGCAGACTTACTGTCAGAGTGTCGTAATCAGACATCATGGTTGCAGAGTTCAGGGATGAGTACATCTCACTGGAAGAGCTTCTAACATGCTGGAGATAAAAACCCAGGAGAATCTTACACAACTAAACCCAAAACTCAAAACTTAAAAGCTATGTCCACTAGGGGGCAACTGAGTGCTGAAAGGTGCCTGGCTGGCACAGGAAAACCCTCCTTGATTCCAGATTCAGATCTTGCGAAACACTGTCGATAATAAACAATAAACAGTGACAGTGGAGGGGGCACTCTTACTGCTTATCTTGAGAAAACGGCAGAAACAGAGTTTAGTTTATTGTCTGCTTCTGACATCAGAGAACAGAAAGTGTTCAGTGTTCGTCTTAAATAATCATAATAATTCTAATGAATAATAACCATATAAAAGAAAAACAAACCTTGCAACAATATTTTATAAACAATATGCTTTTTGTACCAAGGAAGTGTCTTCAGATTTGTTCATGATGCTTAGGCTCTTTATTTATCCCAAAACCAGCTGTTTTACAACATGTATGACAATGCATCACTGCAATAGAGAGGCTTTGCTTTGTTTTCATAATGAATATAAATGACTAAAAATTCAAATGTATTGATAAAAGTCCTTAGACCACCCTAAGGTAAAGATATAGAATAAAAAGTTAAGGTATAGAAAACAAACAGAATATTTTATGCTTTTATGCAGTTGAATGCATTAAAATATAATAAACATAATAAAAAGCACACTTTAATTTACTGGCTGTAAAGGAAAACAATAATGATTAAAAGGCTAAATATACAGGCAATTACACATTGTAATCAAAAAATTTCTCTGATTTAATGCTAAAATGAGAAAATCAATCAGCAAGTATGCACAATAATGTCTGGTCCCACTTTACTATTAGACTATCGTTATAACGAGTTTATGAATGGTTTAAATCAGTTTATTAATGGTTAATAATTAGGTTATTAACACTATAAAATCAGAACAGTGACAACATATTCATGCAAAGGGAAACAGTGACCTGTTGATTGCCAAATAGTGAGCTCATGTCCATCTATGAAGATCAGCTTGTAATTCTGATGAAAATACTTTTCATTTTGTGTTTGTGTCCATCATCACATTTCCTTCTCTTTTCTTCTCATTGTCTATTTCAAAGCTAATCACATCGCATCAAAGGAAACATCTGAAGTCAGGTGTCAGATCCAAACTCTGTGATGGTTGGTATAGTGTAATGGGTAACATCTCTGCTTTCTATGCTGTAGACTGGGGTTCAACCCCACCTAGGTAAGCACTCTTATACTACCCCAATAAGAGTCCTTGGGCAATATTCCTAACACTACCTTTGCCTACCTGTGTAGAATGATCAAATTGCAAGTCGCTCTGGATAAAAGCGTCTGCCAAATGTGTTTTTTTTAGTGTTAGCAACTCCTCACCTGGCCACCAGAGGTCTCCTTCCTCTCCACAAACACAGCACACTACTCCACATATCCTTTGTGTCTGTTTAATGAGCATTTCTACTATTTTTGTCTACTGTCACACATATCTACTGTTGTGAGGTTGGACAGGGTTACAGAACACTGCTAAATATCCCATTCAACCTAATGAGAAACTGTAGAACAGACTCAGTTTATATCACAATACCTACATTTAGAGTCAGTTATTCATTCAGCCTAATGAGAAACTGTAGAACAGACTCAGTTTATATCACAATACCTACATTTAGAGTCAGTTATTCATTCAGCCTAATGAGAAACTGTAGAACAGACTCAGTTTATATCACAATACCTACATTTAGAGTCGGTTATTCATTCAGCCTAATGAGAAACTGTAAAACAGACTCAGTTTATATCACAATACCTACATTTAGAGTCAGTTATTCATTCAGCCTAATGAGAAACTGTAGAACAGACTCGGTTTATATCACAATACCTACATTTAGAGTCGGTTATTCATTCAACCTAATGAGAAACCGTAGAACAGACTCAGTTTATATCACAATACCTACATTTAGAGTCGGTTATTCATTCAACCTAATGAGAAACCATAGAGCAGAAGTTATTTGTTTCACTCAAAGGGAAATTCAGTTTTTTAATGAAGTCCAGCTTGGTAGCATTTTAAACTGGAAACATAATGACTCTAAACTTTATTCTTTGCTGTCAATGTAAAGCTTGTCCAAACTCACAGCAGGAAATATAAAAACACACATTTGTTTGTGGAGCATGGGATGGTTAATTTTAGCTGCTCTGCTTATCTGCTTCTCTGTTGAGCTATTAATCATAGAGGTTAACATGGACATTTAGTAAGAAAGAGGAAAAGTTAATGAACAGAATGGATGATGGGATGATTCATATGGCCTTTTGGAATGCAGGGTGATACAGGATCTGTGGTGAGAGACCCTCAGAATCTCATAATCACAACACAGGATTCAAGGCATTGTGTTCTTAGGAGAGCCAGTATCATTCTGGAAAATAAAAGAACATTAGAAAAACTTACAGAACCAAAAACACTCACACCAGGAGAATGCTTAAAAACACAGAGTGCAGACTTACTGTCAGAGTGTCATAATCAGACATCATGGTTGCAGCGTTCAGGGATGAGTACATCTCACTGGAAGAGCTTCTAACATCCTGGAGATAAAAAAAACAGGAGAATCTTACTCAACTAAACTCACTCTGCAGGGTAACATTCACTCAGTCATAAGGATTGTAGACTTACTGTCAGAGTGTCATAATCTGAGGACATGGTGGTGGGATTTAGAGTTGTGTAGGCATCCCTGGGAGAGTCTCTGTGATGCTGGAAGAAAGAAGAGCATTAAAAACATAAAACTAAATAGACTAACCAGGAGAACACTTAAACAATCACACAGCAGACTTACTGTCAGAATGTTGTAATACGAGGACATGGTGGTGGGCTTTAGAACTGTGTAGGAGTCATTGGGAAAGTCTCTAACATGCTGGAACAAACAAGAATAATTAAAAAACATCTAAATCTAAGTACGCTAACCAGGAGAACACTCAGTCATTCACACAGTAGACTTACTGTCAGAGTATTGTAATCTGAGGACATAGTGGTGGGATTTGGAGTCTTTTAGAGAGAGATCAAGAGAACACAATTTCAGTTTTTAATTCAGTTGCAGTTTTGTAAAAATTGTTCATGAACAGAGAAAGTAGAAACACCTCTCGGTACCTGAACATCTGCTTCGTTTTCTGCTCCTCCCTTTCTTCTGATCATATTCCACCGCCACATCCATCCTGTGGTGATGATTAAAGCCAGAAAGACTGATGATCCCACCATGACAAATTTTAACACTGAGCTCTCCTCTACATCTTCAGGAGCTTCAGAACCTTTGGCAGATTCTGGATCATCAGAAATAAACAATGGACCACATGATCAGTTATGGCAGGCAACTCTGAGAAACTACTTCTATTGTGACAAATAATGCCAAAGACACTTCAGAAACAACAGGTGTTAATCTGAAAAGGCCAGAATTTCTCATATGTTATGTGGTAAAGTGCTATTTAGAAAGACAGAACTTGTCAATCCAATAAAGAACTGTTACCTCCTAAAGCACAAGAATACTGGAGAACATCCTCAGTGCTTGCTGACTCCAGATAGAGCTTGTTGTATCTGGTGGGTTTGTTAGTTACAGGCTGTCCGTTCTTGTACCAGATGTAAGTGGGGTTGTTGGGCAGAGTGCAGGTGGAGATGCAGCTCAGTGCTACTATCTGTCCTTCTGATGGAGTGGAGGGACTCATCATCACCTGAAGATCTGAACATGCAAAGAATCGGAAAATTTATCTACGTAAATCTACATGTCAGCCTTACTTAACTAACTAAAGCCTACAGTAGCTCTGATATGTTCATCAGAACACAGATGACAGGATGCTGAGTAATGTTTCTTTACTTTATGTGCTGTAAAATCAGTAAACACAGCAATGCTAATCAATTTGGGATACAGCCTCCATATTGGTTCACACATATGCAGTCTTATACAAAAGTTTGAAGATACACCATATGAGCTATATGAGCTTCTTGGAAATTCCATTTCAAAACCATGGACATTAATATGGAGTTGCCCCGCTTGACCCACTGGGGCTATAACAGCCCCCCTTTTTCTTGAGTGTATGTGCTGGAATTTGTGCCTAATTAGTCAAAAGAGCATTTGTGAGGTCAGGCACCGATGTTGGATGAGAGAGTCTGGCTCACAATATCCATTCTATTTCATCCCAAAGGTGTTCAGTGGGGTCAAGGTCAGGGCTCTGTGCAGGCCACTGGAGTTCCTCCACACCAAACTGGTTAAACCATGTCTTTATGGAGCTTACTTTGTGCACAGGGGCTCAGTCATGCTGGAACAGGAAAAGGTTTTTTTCCTAACTGCTGCCACAAAGCTGGAGGCATATAATTGTGTAAAATGTCTTTGTGCTGTAGCATCAACATCACCCTTCACTGGAACTCAAAATAGCCCCAGCTCATTATCCCTCCTCCACCAAACTTTACTGTTGACACTATGGATTCCAGTAGGTAACGTCCTCCTGGCATCCACCAAACCCAGATTCATCCATCAGACTGCCAGATAGAGAAGCGTGATTCATCACTCCAAAGAACATGTTTCCACTGCTGCATACTTTACACCACTCCAGTTGGCACTTGGCATTGGGGCTTGTGTGTTGCTTCTTGGCCATGGGAACCCATTCTTTTGGCCATATAGTGTAAAGTAATGTGTTAACATAAAATGAGTAAAAATGTGCAGGGGTGTGTGGAATGCCACCAGACTTTTGCATATGACTGTACTTGTGGTATGTCATTATGTATACAGTAAAATAAATACAGTAACACTTTACCGTAGGGCAGTGTTTATAAGGTTACATAAGATTGCCCTGAAAACTGACCTAAACCTATATAAACATTTTTAAGGTTTTTTGAATAGGTGTCATCTGCTTTTGTCAACTTTGACATCAAATTGACATAACACCTCAAATGACATCAATTTCTCTGACATTTTTGGTATGGAATTATATAGTATATTGTGACACCTGACTCTACAGTTTGAATAATGATGTCAATTTTATAAATGGTAAAATAAAACATTTTATATAACAAAGAACAAGTATTTATAAACAACTATGCATGTCTATTTAATGTCTCAAGTAGATTATGTAAGTGTTGTGTAGCCTTATGAACACTGATAAACAATACAGGTTTACCAAGTATAGAATTCACATAGAGTACATTTGTGAGTTTGGACCATGCCTTCAGCATTTGGTGGTAGTATGAGGGAAGACTGATTGAGGGAGGGGAGAGAACTCTGGGGTAAGTTGCTATTAAGGTTGTAAGATGAGAAGCAAGGTGGAGCAGATAAAATTGATTCAGTTTCATAGCTTGATGGAGACATGACTCCTATCTTAACAGACAGCCGTGTCTGAATCATTGATGAGCAAGCCAAGGGCAACAGTGGCAAGGAAAAACTCCCAGGGGCATAAGTATGGAACCTTGAGAAGAACCAGGACTCAACAGGGAAACCTATCCTCCTCTGTATTTGTGAAGATTATGGTGAAGATGACTGGTAAAGGGTCAGATTACAGTATAGCAGATTATATTACTTTCTGAAGGGAATGGACGTGGAGCAGGCATGGGTGTTAGAAGCTAGCGGCTGCATATGGGAATTGGTGATGGATGTGATGATAGATAGAGGCAGCTGGATGATGCTCTGGTCATTGCCGGAGGTAGTTCAGTATGGAGTATCTTATTGGCAACAGAATGGTTGTTCAGTTATGAAGGTAGATGAAGATCAATTGCTTGAAATTAAAACCTCCAAAAGGCTAGTTATAGTAACAGGTTCCTGTGTGAAGGAAGACATTCTGAAGGGGGTTCCTCTGTGATGAGATGCAATGGTGACTCAGGGGAGATGGAGTGGGTGTCGTTAAAAGAGAGAGGAAGTCAAGCATAGCCAAGCTGTTGCACAGGAGAAACCTGAGAAGCAATGTCATCTAGAAGTATGGTGAATCATCAGATGTGAGGGAGCGAGAGGTGGAGCCAGCAAGGAGGGTGGACAGTCCAGAGTGAGGTAGCAGAAAGGGGTGTATGGTGCCTGAGAAGGTAATGAAATAGTTCCAGATTCTTGTAGCACCAGTAGAAGTGGGCGGAGGCTGAATGGTTACTTTAGAGTAGCTCAACTCCTCTTCATCCCTAGTTGGATGTGCACTGCTGAGGGCTGAGAATGTGCAGTGATGATTGCTGTCTAGGAAGGAAGTTAGGTCAAATGATTTTACAGTAGACACATTATTGACGCACTTTAGAGAGTGAGGTTTGCTGGTGTCAAAAATGAGGAAGTGATGAAGCCAGTAGAAGGTTAGGGAATGGAGAAGATGCCTTGTGCCTTGAGGATTTGCAGGTGAACGTGAGAGGAGATGTGAAGCATCAGGACTTGGTAGGTAAGGTTCCAAGGGGTGCAGTTGTGAGGAACTGGAGGGGGCATGGGGAGTCAAGCAGTGATAAGTGGGGCATCCAGAGGAGAGGGGTACCCGAGGAGGTACAATGGATTGAGGGGAGGTTGGGGGCAGAATGAGGAATTAAAATGGGGGGTTTAAGGTCATACGAAGAGTATAGAGGAAAGAAGAAGAAGAAGAAAGGGGATGAAGGGAGGATGAATGAAGAGGAAGGGATGAGGCATGAGGGATAAAAAGAGGGATGAAAGGAGAGAGAAAGAGAGAGTGGGATGTGGAAAGAAAGGGATGAAGAAAAAACTGATTTGGAATTCTTGTAACACTACAGAACTATCCTGTTAGATCACTATAAAAACTGTTAGCAACAGGCAATAAACAAATAAGCTGCATTTTAGAACATGCTAATGAGCCACTGAATACTGAAAACTACTCAGTTTACCAGTAGGTGGCAACTTCCCCCCTCCTAACTAGGGTATTTGAATCAGACACAACATTTGATGTGTACACGTACCTGTAACGCTCAGAATAACTCCAGGTTTACCAGTGAATTCTTCAGCAGTGTTAGTGATGAACTGAAAGTGATATTTTCGAGAGTCACTCTTTCTAACATTTCTCATTCTCAGAGTGCAGCTTCTCTCTTTATCTCCAAGAACATCCACTCGACCAGCAAACCGCTCGTCCACACTCACATCATTTTTAGGCCAATAGTAATACCAGAATGTTTCAGTAACTGTCTGATCTCTGGGATATGAGTAAGTGCAGGGAAAGTCCACTGATGACCCCTCCAAAGCACAGACTCTTCTGTCTGAGTAGGTCACACTCCAGCAGTTCTCACCAAAAACACCTGTAAAAGTAAAGGATTATCACCTTCTGAAATGATTGGTTCATAAATTATTATTTATAAACAGCTTTCATACTAACACACTGCATTGGATCGGATGTGATCATGATCTTCAATGGAGCAGGAGTAGCTGCCAGGACCAGGATGTCTATATAAACTGAAAAGGTTCATTAGTCCAGCCCACTCGCTTCCCATTTTTGTACCAGCTGTAACGAGCAGGTTGAGAGGTCAAACTGCAGGAAGGGCTACAGATCAGTGTCTGTTCTGTCTGCTGTTCACCGTAAGAGGTCATCATGATCTGTAGGTCTGAGTGAAAATGAAGTTACAAATATTGTGCACACATTTGAACATCACAAAGTGGTTAAATGACTCAGATAGCTGTAGTTGAGCTGTATTACCTGAAACTGTTAGAGTAACTGCTGTTGAGGTGGAATATTTCTGTCCTGTTTCTGTAATGATCATGAGGTGATATTCTCCTGAGTCTCTCTCTCTCAGGTCTGATATTGTAAGAGTTGAGCTGAAGATTGTGGTCTCAGTGTACGTCACTCGTCCTGCGTAGTCTGAGTCTAGAGCTAAATCCTCTGGATCTTCCTCGTTCCTCCATTTAGCTTTTTGTTTGGGGCTGAACCAGAAGCTGTACTGAGGTCTGATGTTGGTGTTTGAGTGAGAGCACTGCAGGGTCACTGTTGATTCCCGCAGAGCACAGATAGTCTGAGGACTGCAGGTCACTCTCAGAGTCTCACCCAAAGAACCTGAAACTGAAACAGCGTGAATCACAGAGTGTGAAAGAATCACAGAAATCAAAAACAGGCCTGGGATGTTTCTCTCATAGCCTTATAGAATTAAACATATTCACAGTTTGCTTTGTTGATAACGTTTCACTGAAATTATAATACTGAGATTTGTGTGATGTGTAAGCTAAACTACACATAATATTGTCATTTTTACTGAGAAAACAATGTGGTTCTGAATAGGTCACATCTCAGTCCAGGTGGGTCACAGCATTGCAGATCTCAGCTTTCTGCCTCATTAACCCATCTGATTTAACTCATTAGGTAATAAGCATGCCATCAGTACAGGATTAAGGGTGGATTACTTTGTATAGTAAATTAGAAAGGTATAATTGATGGGGTACAATGCCCCCATGACTCCACCCACCCCTCACCCCCCAGTGGTGCCAGGCCTGCACTGTCCTGTAGACACTGTCCTGAGCAGGTACATTTTTGATCATTAAGATCACACTGCAAAAAATGATGGCAGTGTAAACATCTTAAATGTAGTAAATATATCTACTATTCCTCACTATGAGACTGTTGTAAGATTTTTATAACATTATTTAACTGTTTTATTTTATAAAAATGTCTTATTCCTTTGGCGGATCATTTTACTTGTTTTAAGCATCATTTCTTGATATGAGCAAAATTATCTTCATTATTTCTCAAAACAAGTACAACAATCTGCTAATGGAATGAGACACTTTCACCAGATAAAATCACTTAAAATAACTGAAGATGTACAAAAACAGGTGGAATAATGTTATAATATTCTTACAACCGTCTCATAATGAGGTGTGTCTACCTTATTCTTTCTTCCTCATGTATTTGTACCATTTCATAACTGACTGATTTAAAACAGCACAACAAAATAAAAAGGATGGAGTCAAGGCAGGATGTCTAGAGTCAATACAATTTGAAAATAACTGCAGTGGATTATGTTATAATTATGTTCCCTGACTAAAAGTACTGAAGAGGTGCGTGACCCCAGTAACAGTTTAGTATCATGTTTTTCTTCTGAAAGTGTAAACTAGTTGCAGCAGTTCAGTAGAATCAGAATAATCCTACCCGGAATATTCAGTAGGATGATCACTGACAGGATACCACATTTGAAGCTCATGGTTCCACCTGGGATGACCTTTTGAAAGAGATACAGCATAAACGTATAATTAATCAAAAACAGAAAACAATCGAAACAGAAACAAAAACAGGTAATGCTGAACAAACTTTCTTCATTCTGACCTACACATTCATCTCAGTAGTGTTCTGACTTGTGCAAAAGAGGATAAAGCTGTAAACAACTGTCTGGTCAATTATTGCACAGTTTCAACAGTTAGAAATGTATGCAAAAAATACAAGTTTAAATTGAAGAACTGAAGTCAATGCCTGACCTAGAAGACAAAAGTTACCTCTAAAAATAATTATGCTGTTGTTCTCCAATGAATATTACTTCAAATATTGCTTTGTATGTTCACTGAACGTCATACAATCTCACTTAAGTGCATGTATAGGTTCAAAATATGTGTAGCCATCAAATATTTCTCATCTATTTTGCACGGTCTGGTACACATAATGGTAGTTCCTGCAACAGTCCTAGGAAAAATAATTACCAATACCCACCTAGAACATTCCCAGTATGTTGATTCAGACCCCCGAGCACTGCAGACCAGAGCGGTCTATCCTGAGAAACCAAAGACACAGACACTACGAATGAGACTAATACAGAGAGACTTATGAGAAATGAACTGTTCTGTGTGGGAAGGTCCTCACAAAGGTTTTTTTTTTAAACGTCTTGCCTTTTTTCTGGTTGTGATTACGCAGTGGAAACTGCTGAGAGACTGTATCTTGCTGACCTCAGCTCAGAAGTTAACAGATACAGACATACAGACAAAAAAAGGTAGTAAACTGTCTCTGGGGCAGTAGCTCTCTGGTCACTGGGGTGGGACCCTCAAGGGTCCATCTCAGTACCTTTAGTCAGGGAACATAACTGAACCATAATCCACTGAATGATATTCTCTAAGCTGTACTGACTCCACACACCCCGTCTCGTCTCCAGGCTTTTATTTTACTGTTCTGTTTAAAACATTCGGTTATGAAAAGGTACAAATACGAACTTTTCACCTGGAGAAACTTATTTAAGGTTCACAATCGGACCTTAAAACCACTGTTGGAGCTTTGAGGGAACATTTACACTGTTTGTACCTTGATGAACTAAAAATGTACCTGAACAGAACCTTAATTTATAACAGTGTATATGTAAAAAACAAACTCCACAGAGCAGTTCTGCTAAAAACATTTGACTTATCTTTGGTTGAGACTTTTTACTCTTTTCTCATTCAAAATCAAAGTGAGCTGGGAAGAGTATGTAAACATGACGTGTGTGAAGGAGTGAAGTATGAGTTTGCTCTAATTTCCTTCCCTTTTCTGTGTCAGAGTTACAGTAACAAATTATTAATAACTGCCGCCAACTTACGATCTAAACTTGCAGTAAATTCCCCTCCCTGTTGTGTTAAGTATCGGATCTTGCCTTTCTGCCCTTCTGCCTTTACACTGTACAAGTCCCCTGTTGGTCAGTGTGTATAATACTTGTTTTTTTACATGCCCATTTCTATAGACACAGGAATAGAGCTAATGGGTCAGCTTGGGTTCCACAAGCTTCATCACTGTTGAGCGCCCCCTTCTGGTGCAGTAATAAGATGTGAATCTGAGCCTAAATCAGCACTCCTACTCTAAGGCTACATTCACACTGTGGATAAAAGTGGCCCAAATCTGATTTTCTCACCAAATCTGATTTTTTCTTTTAAATGTGATCTGTATGCTGCATCAGTCTGAACAGATCAGCTCCTAAACTCACCCACATGCGCAAAAGAGCAATGCTTCACGCGGCTCATCTGGAGGTAAACAATCATGACCATCAACGAACGCCAGTCACTCCCAGAGGATCAGCTTCATCTTCACCAGCATCACAGGAGCCATCATGAAGCTTCACTGACTGACAGCTGGGCTCATCACCCAGAATGTGTTTGAGCCGTACAAAGGGCGCGGTCACTTCTTTGGTTCGTGTCTGCAGCTTCTTTAAACTTTGCTTTTAGACCTTTAACTGTTCGGACATTTCTTTCAAACTCTGGTTTTGGATAAGTCTTCTAATTGTTTGGGTACAGAAACATCAGCCTAACTGTTTATGAGATCTCAGTAGCACAAAATTATGATGAATGTGGAGTTGGAGTGACATAAAAGTCACATGAATTCTGATCTGGCTGTTCAGACTGAGTCGCACTGCTGCAAATCGGATACGTATCGGATTTCAGTACCACATATGAAAGTGTCTCAAACTGGAACCGAAAATGTCAGACTCAGTGTGTTTTTGCTGTTCACACTGACACACAGACACACATCTGTGCCACATAGGAAGAAAAAGATCAGATTTGGGCCACTTTTACCTGCTGTGTGAACAAAGTCCAAGAACCTTCATGAATGTGAGCCCTGGTTTTGAAAGTCGGAGGAAAAATTAACACCATACTAGTTGCTGTGAGCTGCACAAATGTTGCTAATTTGAGTGGATTATGCAATCAGCCACATCGGTGATATCGCCACCCACTTACTGTATGATCATAACACATTTTGCTCAGCCCTCCAAAAAAAGCACACTTTGGCTTTTGTCATATGCATAAACTGCATGTTTAGGCTCACGCACTGGTCCTGTAGATAATACTTGGTCAATATTATAAGATTTGCAGCTGAAACTGGAAGAAAATGCTCAGTATGTCAAGCCCAGATAGTCTGTGAATGTACACGACATAATGACTGAACTGACAGTGAAGGATGTGAAAGTGACTGACTCTGAGGTTTGAAACTTCAGATTTAAAACATCACGTGGAGAGTGAATATCAGCTCATCTGGAATTTAATTTACAATAATCATTAACGTAAACGTAGCTCCACCTGCAGTCTCAGTGAAAACCTTCAGTACACCTGAATATTTGCAAAATTTTATTCACATGAAAAAGTATTTCAAAATATGTGGCACTAGTTCTTTTTATGCCTCTAGAATATATTTGCTTCTCACTCCAAGTAATAATCGTTTGTATGTTTCAACTGTTTCTGCAGATTTAAACCAGAACAGCTGCTGAAGTGTGACTTACATTCCTCACACTAGCTGTGCTCTGATCAGTGGACAAACTGGGCCAGTTTCCCAGACAGGGATTAAGCCTAGTCCTGGACTACACAGGATTTAGGATTAGGTTTTGGGTAAGGTTGGGTAAGGTTACGTTCGCATAATGGAAGTAACATATTAAGTCTACTTTATGTAACACAT